GCTTAGATTTTACAAATACGTGAGCCGTTCACAGCCCGACACACGTATTTGTAAAATCTAAATGATTGTACAACATGGAATTCATATAAAACAGAAAAATCAACAGTGTTATAGGGGAGGGTCGACTGTATATATATATATGATACTACTAATTTGAGGTGGAGAACCACCTCAAATTAGTAGTATCTTGCCCCCTGTACATCATACTTTTCCTTTAACAATAGAATCGTGCCAGTCATCTATTAATTGCTTTCAGGGGAAAACTTTTGAATTGAAATAACATGACTTACGGTACAAACTAGAAGTTCATATATAGTCAATCGGGGCCTCCTGCCCCTAAGGTTTCCATATCTAGTCTCATTTTCATCTAACTAATTCTGTTGTTGAGATTAAGGAAAGACAGACAGATGATAGTGGGAATTTAAAGGTCTACAATTTTTTTAAAATTTCAGCCCAATTAATAAATAATTAAAGATGAAAAAACAAAATTTACTAAAAAGTTACAAGTTTANGAGTTTTATAAAAAAATAGTAAATGCCAATATAACAAGTAAAATCCTAACTAAGTACTGGAGATACACATGATCCCCTTTATCTTCCCACCCCTTTGACCTTTAATCACCAAAATTTAATAGCATCAATCTCCCTAATAAACAAACCTCTATGCAACATTTTAGACAAAAAGCACAGCAGTTATTAAGCTTCAAAGAGAATGAACAAAGTTGTGCCATACACATATGCTAACATCCATACATACAGAAGAAATCCCCAAATTATTTTGCATTTCTCAATGTTTCAAAATGTTCTGAGTTCAAAAATGTAAAAATCTTGAGGGGCCATTTTTTGACTGATCGCCATATCTTTATAACAGCCAGAAAACTAAAACATTATAAATATTCGACTAGTTATTCTACTAGAAATTTAATTATATAAACCTGGACTTTTTGTATTGATTGAGAAGAACAATATGAATAAAAAGAATACAGGAACTGAAATAGTAATCAGTATTGCTTTTTGTAGAAAAGAAAAAAAAATTTTATTTTCAAAACTATAATTTAAAAAATTGACAAAAATAAATCATTGCAATATATCAATAATATTGTAAATCATTACTATCATATATCAAGTATATATGTGTAACGTAAAGATACTATTGAATTTCTAGGACAACTTTATAGTAACTCTGGAAAGCCAAAATGCTTTTGAAAAACTGTAAATTTGAATGCATATATTAAATCAAATACAGTAATTAATTAAATTATTAATATTCATTCATTTTTCTATTTATATAATTTTTTTTCAGTTTAGTCTAGAGCAGTGTTTCTCAATGGGGGCGATATTGCCCCTATGTGGGTGTTTTTGCATGTTGAGGGGGCAATTAGTAACAATTTATATTTTGGGGAGGTGAAAAACAATTTTCTGGGCAATATAGTAAAACATTATATTAAGAATAATTAAATATTTTATTCGTTATATCATACAATTATTAAACAAATAACATTATACTAGTCACTAGTCTATTCAATGCAGTACGAATTTGGCGTTAACCTTGGCCCTGGGCATCGGAATTTAAAGTGAAGAGGGCGATATTACATAATGGTTTTATTGAAGGGGGCAACAATTCATTAGAGGTTGAGAAACACTGGTCTAGAGTTAAACAGCATTATGTGCAAAATTATAAAAATATTTTCTCTCTACATGTTGTTCTTAATTGATAGTAGAAAACATATACAGAATGTATGTAATCTACTTATGACTTCATCTTAAGATTTTATTTGTAATAAATGATATAAAATGTAGCATAAATTTTCAGAAACTAAAAATATTTCTGTAACAAAAAACTAGAATATATATATATACATTTTTTCATTAAATCATCATCATCATTTCCCCATTTCGGGGATCAGAGTCACCCTTGTCCCGCTATCAGCACCACAAGGGAAACGCTTACTTTATTAATTGAACTATTAAACAAAATATACTTATAACAAACAATTAAAATATATTACATTATAGGTACATAGGCTGCTTGCCTTTACAAGATTGCGACACTGTCGCAAAGGGAGCAGCTCGCTCCCCCATTCACGACATTATTGTTCGCGTGAAGGTTTTCACCTCCTGGACCAGATCCCTAGCCCGTATAATCATGTATAAATCCAAGCTTGAAATGTCTAAGGTTCCTTTGACTAGTGATAGTAACTGTATCCTTTCCATTTCGTACTTTGTACACTCATTAATTACATGGTCTAAACTGTGTTCTCCCTTTCCGCATTCACATTGAGTGTCTTGCTGCTTTCCGATTCTTTTTAAATATTCTTTGGTATTACAATGGTTAGTCAAAAGTTGTGTGGTTATAAAGTCACTTGAGAGCCATCTTAAGTCATTCATTCTTTCTTCTATATTGGGAAGCAACCAGAAGGTGTGTCTCCCTTTCATGCTATAACTCCACTCTTCTTGCCATTCGTCTATTGATTCTTGCCGTAGTAATCTTTTAATATAAGATATTGGAATTTTATTGTAAGTGGTTTCTGTTAATGACGCGGCCTCTTTGGCCAGTGTGTCCGCTTTTTCATTTCCTGCAATTCCTATATGAGCCTTCACCCATCTTATTTTGATCTTTAAGCCATATTCTTCTATTAGTTTCTTGGCTTCCAAAGCCATCATATTCTTGTCATTGAACTGCTTAAGTGTGTGTATGGCAGCACTACTATCAGTGTTTATAATTATTGAGCCAGACAATCGGGTGGAGATAACCCATCTTATAGTTTGTAATATTGCAAACAGTTCTGCTTGATACACTGAGCATCTGTCGTCCAATCTGAATTGATCTTGGTAGATTTCCTCATTGTCTTTTATGACCAGGAAGGAGGCTCCTACCTGGCCCTCTACCTTAGATCCGTCAGTGTATATATCAATATCACTTCTATCCTCTTCTGTTGCTATATTTATTGCCATCCGATTATAAGGTCTTGGTAGCATCATTGCCGTTGCTTGCATTTCATATTCTGTTCCTTTATAAGTTTCATTCTTAATGTTTATAGAGTACCCTCTCCTGCACATATATGCCTTTGCCTTTTCACGTAGGATCATGTCTATTGGCGTTGTACCAGCTATCACCATCAACGCCTCGGTCGATGTCGTGCGGTACGCTCTTGTCATCCTTAGTAATGCCGTCTGTTGTGCGCTTCTTAACTTCCTTTTTATGCTGCCCTTTTCTGCAGCTTTATACCATGCTCCTGCGGCATATGTTACTTTAGGAATAAACGCACCTTTATAGATAATAGCGATGGCCTCTTTGCTGAGGCCCCAATTAGCCTTGGCAGCTCTGGCTAGTGCATTAAATAGGTTTGCACCTA